AAATATGAGGCTGGGACATCTTCATCTTACTCAAATTTTAAACAGATTAAGCTTGAAGAAACAAAGCAGGTGTCTCAAAAATCTGTTGACAATGCATACATTGCCACAACTACTGATTGTTGGACTGCAAGGAGGAGGAGTTTTATTGGCATTACAGCACACTGGCTGGATCCTTGCAGTTTTGGGAGGCATTCTGTTGCTCTTGCATTCAAACAGTTGAAGGGCTCACATACATTTGATCTCTTGGCATGTGCAATGCACGACATATACAGCACACTGGCTGGATCCTTGCAGTTTTGAGAGGCATTCTGTTGCTCTTGCATTCAAACAGTTGAAGGGCTCACATACATCTCTTGGCATGTGCAATGCACGACATATACACAGAATATGGAATCTGTGCAAAAATAGTCAGAACCACAACAGACAATGGTTAAAATTTTATTAAGGCATTTCATGTGTTTGGACCAGATGAAAACAACTATGTTACTACTGAAGAGGTAACTGAGGAAGTAACAACTAAAGAAGGAGAAGATAATGACCCTGGTGAGATGGAAGTGGAATTCATCGATGTGGAAGCCATTTTGGATGAGGATGATGGCCTTCAGTACCAACTACTAATGCATCACCGGTGCACTTGCCATTTGCTCAATTTGGTTTCTACGGGGGATGTCAATAATGCAAATAGGGCAGAGGCCTACAAGAAGCTGTCAAGGTCAGCCTTCTCTAAGTGTCAGGCTCTCTGGAACAAGACTTCAAGGTCCACTATTGCTGCAGAGGTTGTTTGTCAGTGTCTGGTTGGGGTGCCCTGGACTGGTCACTTGAGGGCGCTTTCCAGTTTCTTGTTATGTGTTTAACTCCATTTCCCATAGTCCCTTGCTTGTCATTCTGTCTGATCATGAGCACCTGTTTATCACTTCCGATCATATTCACCCGTTAGTCATTTACTCCTTATCCCATCTATATATATACCATGCTCACTCTGTCTGTCATTGCTGCTATATTGTATTTGTCTTCTCATGTCTGACCTTGATGTTATCTGGAGTTCAGTGTTATTCTGTTCCTTGTGTTTTTGGATTACCTTTTGCCACGTTTTTGTTCCGTTTTGATTATTTGTTACTTTCAATAAACTGCACCTGGATCTTACTTTGTCTCTCCTGGCATCCCGTGACCGAATATAGCAGCCACTACAAGATCCAGCAGTTTGTTTGTTTTTTTTAACCATGGACATTCGGATCGTCCCTCCTGCCACAGGGAAGGAGCGAATGATTCGACACCGGACTCTGATGGCTAGGAGGCAGGAAGGAATGGAGGTTGGTGGGTTTGCCCAGACCTTTTGGACGCTGGCGGTGGGGCTAGATTATAACGAGGCTTCACTTAAGGACCTCCTTAACATCTGTCTGGATAATCCTTTGCCCCAGTGGGAGGTGGATGTACTCGAGATCCTAGACTTCTGGGGCTTGGTCAGATATCTCCAGGGTCAAAGTCAGTGGGCAATACCAGGCCAGTCAGAACCCTTCTGCAGGGATTTTCCCACCACCTCTATCCTTCAGACTCCCACTAAGCGGCAGAGGTTGAGAAGGAGGACAGGAAAGCCCACTCCAGAGTCCGCTCCAGTCCGGGAGCTCACGGAGTCCACTCCAGTTCGGGAGCTCACGGGGACCGTTGCGGCGCAATCGGCTTGTCCTGTTGCAGCCGTTGAGGCTGTTAATAAACTCTATCTGCTCTTGTTTTCAGTTTCTCCTGAGTTGCTGAGAGGGTTTTCTGTCCCACCAGTGTTGCCTGACAGGATTCCGGTTCCGCTCTGGTTGCCCGCCTGGGTTCTGGTTTGGCAGGAGCCTCACTGGCTCATTCCTCCAGCTCTGTCCTGGCTATCTGCTGGGGTTCCTGTATGGTTGGGGCCCTACTGGTTCGTCCTGCCGGCCCCGCCTTGGCCTTCCACCCTGCCGGTTCCGTTCTTACACCCTGGTCTACTTCTGTTCCCTGATCCCCTTCCTATGCATGGTCCTGGCCCGCCATCCCTACCCCTGGTCTGCCTCAGTTCCACCTCCCTCCTGAACTTTTATGTTTTCTGCTGGAGCGTCTGGTATCTGCTCCGTAGAGGGGGGGTAATGTCACAGTGTCTGGTTGGGGTGCCCTGGACTGGCCACTTGAGGGTGCTTTCCAGTTTCTTGTTATGTGTTTAACTCCATTTCCCATAGTCCCTTGCTTGTCATTCTGTCTGATCATGAGCACCTGTTTATCAGTTCCGATCATTTTCACCTGTTAGTCATTTACTCATTATCCCATCTATATATACCATGCTCACTCTGTCTGTCATTGCTGCTATATTGTATTTGTCTTCCCATGTCTGACCTTGATGTTATCTGGAGTTCAGTGTTATTCTATTCCTTGTGTTTTTGGATTACCTTTTGCCACGTTTTTGTTCCGTTTTGATTATTTGTTACTTTCAATAAACTGCACCTGGATCTTACCTGGTCTCTCCTGGCATCCCGTGACATTGTTGAAGAGCACTGTAAGCTGCAGCTGTTACAGCCTAATGCATCAAGATGGAACTCCTTTTATTTGGCTGTGGAGCGTCTTGTGAGAATCCTTACAGATCAAGGAGAAGGGGCAATGAGAGCTGTCTGTGCTGCACTCAAAGTTCCTATGTAAGTAGTTAGTCTGGAATTGTGTTTTTTTTTTTTTTTTTTCAGATTTTCTACAACCGTTTTGTTTGTGTATAATCCTAAATGAATATAATTGAATGCGTAGAGGTTGTTACGGTTTTCTTTTGCTTGTGTTAGTTACAGTCTAGCATAAATTGCCTTTTTGGGAGAATAATGAAACTTGGTACATTTGTACAGTTTGGGGCCCTGAACATTATCAGAAATGGAGTCATTGCAAAAACACCTTGTGGTTGCCATGGCAGCCATTTTACTTTCTGCCATTACCAAATTATGTATTTTGTGTCATAGCTTCTGAATCAAACATGATAACACAGAAAAGGTGATGTCTCAGAAAAGGTATTTTCTCTTTCTTTGATAATTAACTAATATTTTATTCAGTAATACAATATTGTTTTCAAGAATACAACCATATATTTCAGAGATATAAAAAAATCCTCTCAGGCAAGTATATCTTTACTTATCTCTCAGGCAGAGTCAGGTAGGCAGCAGCGCGTAAGTGTTTGCTTAATCCCTTGTTTCTGTCGTTTAGATTATTTGCTGTTAAGGGTTATTTCATTTACTATTTCTATTTTTCTTCCTTCGTTATAATTTGTATGTTGATTGCACATATTTGTAATCAGAACCATCAGCTAAGTTTGTAGTGCTTGTTTACTGCACTTAAGTGGCGAACTGTCCCGCAGTAGTTTTGATTTGAGCCATTCGCATGTTATAGGCTTTTGATGTGCTAATTGTCCAGGTGTACACAACTGTATTCACTCTAGAGCAGTGCTTCCCAAACTGTGGGCCGCGGCCCCCCGGTGGGCCGTAGCGGTATTGCAGGGGGGCCGTGGCTAGGCCAAATCAAAATATTAAAATAATTAAAATATTCTAATTGTTCTAAAATGTGATTAGAACCCATTTTTACACAAATTAAAATCACATAAAAAAAAATGTTCCCCATTATAGCGAGGTGAGATACATTGCTTATTTTCAAACTGACGTTGGTTGCTTAGTAGGAATTCAGTCACAATTAACCGTCAATTCAAAAATGCGACGGTGGCTGCTCGGTAAAAGAGGAGCAGAGGATGACAATCCATCCTCATCAACTGAGCCTAACTGCACTGCACTTCAAGTAAACGAAAGACTCGTAAGTACAGCGAGGAGTACTTGTCCTTTGGATTTACGAGTGTTGGTCCTGCTGACAACCCCACACCTGTCTGTGTGCTATGCTCTTCTTCTACCAGCACTCACACATATCAACACATCTCTTTTCACAGGCATTTTCCCCACCGTACTCAAGCAGGCTCGGGTAAACCTACTGCTCAAAAAACCTACATCAGTGGTCGGCAAGTAAGTTTGGCATCGGGCCAATAAAAATTCACCACTAAATGGTTGGCCAGAACATAGTCAAAGTATAATTTAAGAAATTAATTAATGAAAAATGCAACTAGAATTGCCTGTGACAGACTTTTACAGTGTATTTTGTAACTGGTAGTGAGCTGTTACGCTGTGTTAAATCCTGTAGTAGGACAGCCATTAAGAAAAAGCCACATTTGTTTGGCGGTGTCCGGGTTTTACACTGGATCAATTAATAAAGCAGAGTAGTGACACATAACCTGGCAAGTATCTTCATTCACCAACTTGTAACACAGACCGCCTCACATGTAACCACGTCAATCGGATTGAATGGGCCAGATCCGATTCAGATTTCGATCTGATTGTAAGGGGTGTTTTATTCCTTTTGTAATCCGAGCGAGAGGACATGTAAACACTTGATCGGATTGAAAACCGAAACTGGAAAGTACTAACACAGACCGCCTTGCTTAAACATACATATGTGGGAGTTGTGGAATGGATAAAAATAACTCAAAAAATAAAAGAGGACTTGAATAAGCCCATTAATGGCATGTTTGAGTCATGCTCTTAACGAACTATGTTTTTTGTTATTAATATTTGTAACATATGTTATTTCCTCTTTCCATATTGTGAATAATATATGTGTATCATTTTAATTTGCTTGTTACACAATGGAGACTAACTTCTTGTAATAATTATTTGACGTAGCTTACTTTTACACAGAATTATTCCTTGGCATCCTCACGTACTAAACTACATTTTTTTTAATTGTTTGCGTGCTGGAGCTATGCTATTACGTCATGTGCAGAGTAATGTTAACATTTAAGCTAGCTGGTGAGAGAAAATGGTCCTATCAAAGAGTCTAAAGAGGGAAGTTGACAGCGAAAATAGGGCATACAAAGAAGAATGGAAAGACAACTATGCATTCATCCTACCTAGTTTTAAGCAAAGCCTTATCTGCAACGAAGTTGCCGCTGTTTACAAAGAAACGCTTTAATGGTTCACCGTTAGTTTTTTCATACACATTTCATGATGGCTATTTTAGAGGTGTGTCTAGCGATCCACAGACTCTTTTGAATGTCTTTCAGAACTTTTCAAATTAAAAGCTCTCAATTCATCTCAAAATAAACCATTGCTGCAAAAACATTCTCGTACTTTTATTTTGGGGGCAAAATCACTAAAGACGAAGTGATTGTGAGTAAGTGTTGCTGTCAAGACGGATCTATTTCAGAACCAGGCGCTATCAATATAATCAGGCTGCGGGTGCAGGTCAGATATTATTACTGGCGGACAATGTTTTACATTAAACACTTAACTTGTAGATAGCTACAGACCAGTCTCTCTTCTTCCATTCATATTCATCATGTAAACACTTGATTGAGTTGTTTTCAACCAGGTATAATTTCTTTCACAGAATAACCAGCTGGACATTAACCAATCAGGTTTCAGAAGCAGATATTTAACTGAGACTGTGTTATTGTCGGTCACTGAAGCTCTGCGGATTGCGAAAGCTGATTTCATCATCTGTTCTCATTCTGCTGGATCTATCTGCTGCTTTTGACACTGTACATCATCAGATCCTCCTGTACACCCTCTCTTCACAGGGCATCACAAGAACTGCATTTCAATGGTTTGAATCCTATCTCACAGATAGATCTTTCAGGGTGGCCTGGGGAGGTATCCAAAGCAAATCAACTGTTCACAGGTGTTCCTCAGGAATAAGTTCTTGGACCCCTCCTCTTCTCCATATACACTACATAACTGGGACCCATCATACAAATACATGGTTTCTTCAACTATTTCAAGAACGTTACTAACGGGTATGTTTAGGGTTAGGAGTTGGTTAGGACAATAAATAAGTGTATACAACTAAACAAGGGTTTTGTCGCGCCGCAATCAGTGTTGACAGCATCACTGATTATCGTGCTGATTCTATTGTATTTTGTTGCGTCTCGCCGCACAGCTCGCATCCGGTGTAGACACGATGTAAGTTAATGTTGCTTTCTGATGCTGCGTTTGAATTTTCATGCCACATTATTTGACATTAGCGCGGGCCAAACATTTTTCTCTCACGTGCCGGATGTGGCCCGCGGGCCGCCTATTGATGAACCCTGCCCTACTCCAATAAAACAGGCTTACTGAAAATGTACATTCTTTCTCTGCCAGCAGGAGGCGCTATTGGAACGGCAGAAATATAACTGTTTCCCTGGTAACGGGAGTAAACAAAGCAGCGCATCACCAGACTTTGAAACGTGCAGCGCTCATGTTTATTTAAAGAGGTCATATGATGCTTTTTTAAAGATAATTATTTTGTGTATTTGGTGTAACAGAATATGTTGACATGCTTTAATGTTCAAAAAGCACATTATTTTTCAAATACTGTACATTATTGTAGGTCCTCTATGCCCCGCCTCTCTCAAACGCTTCGTTTTCTACAAAGTCCCTCCTTCCGACAAGCGCAGTCTGCTCTGATTGGCCAGCTGACCCAGTGCACTGTGATTGGCCGAACACCGCAAGCACTCGTCAGAAATGTAACGCCCCTTACCATAATCGCAGCTTCATCTTTCAAAATAAATGTAAAGGCAGTAAATAATGTCATTAGTTTTACCATCAGTTCAAGCCCAAAAGGGGAACAGAGTCGCGTGACAGACACAGTGATGAAGCTGGTATGTGTTTGCAGTACACAAGCCACGGTTAAGACAGCTGTCTTCACTGTGATGTGACCCTGTCTCTCTCTCTCGCACGCGCTCTCTCTCTCTCTCTCTCTCGCTCACTCACGCGCTCGCGCATACACACACACACACACACACACGATGCGATGGCATTATGCTAATATTTCCACATAGTGAGGTAGATATGTGGGGGCGTGTTAGAACGAGGCGTTTTAGGGGGGCGTGGCAGAGTCTCAACTTTGATAAAGAATATCTCTTTGGTTTTGAGACTTTAGTCTTTGCAACTTCAGGGATCTTATCTATGCACAATCAGCTTGTAACACTCCAAAGAGAAAGCAAAACTTGAAATCGCATCATATGACCCCTTTAATAAAATCAGCCTTTTGAAGTTTAATCGTCACATTCAGCCATATCACAATTCTGGTCTTTCCATCCCCAAATTTAAGACCTCCTGAAATCATAATTAAGACTTTCTTGTACAATTTCAGAATTTTTAAGGTCTTAAATTTGATACAACTAAATTTAAGACTTTTTGAGACGCTGCGGAAACCTTGATCAGAAAGATCAAGCCCTTCCTAACAGAGCATGCTGCAAAACTTCTCATTCAGGCCCTTGTCATTTCTAGGCTTGACTATTGGAATGCTCTTTTGGCTGGATTTCCATCATGTACAATCAAACCTCTACAAATTATTCAGAATACAGCAGCACGTCTGATCTTCAACGAGCCCAAAAGGGCCCACATCACACCTCTCTATCTCCCTGCACTGGCTACCGTTTGTGGTTTGCATCAAGTTCAAGACATTGATGATTGCATAAAGAACAGCCACAGGTTCAGCACCCACCTACTTCCACTCACTCTTACAAATCTACATCCCCTCCAGAAGCCTGAGATCTGGAAGCGAGCGACGCCTCGTGGTACCATCACAGAGAGGCTCAAAAGGCTGGTGGAATGCTCTTCCCACCCCCATCTGGAATGCCGAATCCCTGACAATTTCAAGCGATAGCTGAAAACTCATCTCTCTTTCGTCAACATTTGACTGCATCCTAATTTAATAAAAAGAACCTTCACTTTCACTTTCCTTAATCCTTCCCTTTTCTAGCTTGTACTAATCTGAACGATGTCTAAAACTTTGTATTACGAGCACTTCCTGCATTTATTTGCCTCTTTATGATGAATCGCAGGTTGTATTCCCCAATTGTAAGTCACTTTGGATAAAAGTGTCTGTTAAATGAATAAATGTGGATTCGGGCTGAGTGTTGACTGTTACCAAGGTGGCAGTAGAGTGACAGTTCATCAAGAAGGAAGGCTAGACTGAGAAGTATCAACTGAAATAAATGCTTCCCCCCTTGTTGACACTAACATAACAGACAACTCTGGCCCCAGAGAGTGATTGTAAATTAAGTGTACAGGAAATATGCATGTAATTTCATTTAGCATCTTCTCAGATACTGTGATTTTATTGTAATTCTTTTCACAACGTCACTGAATTTACCATTATCTATCCACGTCAACATGATATTGTAATACTTGACCATAAAAACATAGGGGTATACAGTACATCACCTTTTCTGTGTTATCATGTTTGTTTCAGGAGATATAATTTAAAATACATTATTTGGTAATGGTGGAAGGTAAAATGGCTTCCATGGCATTTTTGCGATGGCTCCATATCTGAAAATGTTCTGCCTGCAAACTGTACAAGTGTACCAAGTTTCATGCTTTTATGAAAAAGTTAAATTTAATCATGGCAATTTATGAAATGTGCTTCCTACATACAACCAGCATTTTGATTTCCCTACGAGAGAGAAAAACATATTGGTCCAGGTTTACAGTAATGTACAGCTGTTATCAGCTACAATAGATCCTGCATTGATAACATTGTGCCTGTTCAATTGATCTGGCCACACCCCAATCAAAAGCCATGAATAAACTGTGAAGTTAGATCTGCATACTGCATTTGTCTTGGGTAATGCCAGTGACTACAAGAAGGCCAGATATGACCTCTGAAGAGCCATTAGGGATGCCAAGAGACAATACAAACAAAGACTGGAGTGTAGATTCAAACCAGATGCTACTACAAGTGTGCAATCAAGAGCGTCCTCACCAGCTACATTACAGTCTGATTCAGGAACTGCACAGCTCAGGATCGTAAGGCTCTACGGCAGGTGGTGAGAGCTGCCCAAACCATCTCTGGTACTGCCTTACCAACACTGGAGAGTGTTTACTGTGATAGAGTCATCAGGAGAGCTCGAAATATCATTAAGGACAATAGTCATCCCCAATACAACCTTTTTATACTTCTACCACCAGATTGACACTACAGCAGTGCCAGAGCTAGAAATTCAAGGCTGAGAAACAGTTATTACCCACAGGACATTAGGCTTGAATAACACCTATCCATATTTTCTTACACACACTCGTAATGCGAATAATATTTCTTTGACTAATTACTAAATCTATCTTTGCTACAAATGTGAAATAGCAATGGACTATTCAGCTCACTTTGCATATAGTATATGTCTTACGTTTACATTACACATCGTTTACCCAATGCTTGTATGTTTATGCATGTGTCTGTATACATCCTATCATTTATGTTAGCAGTTGCTGGAGGATTTGCAGAGAAAGAATGTCATCGTATGTTGTCACTTTTTTAATGAATATATGAATACATGTCAATAAACTCTTGAACTTGAATGTTATTTGTCTCAATCTGTCTGCTGGCAGAGAATTAATTTTTTTTAGCTATTCTAAAATCTATAAAGTCATAAAAAACTCAAAGTCATCTCTGAAAAAGCTTTTCTGTGAGTTATATATTTTAAGAATTTCCAATTATCGTCAACATTTTGTGTAGAACTGTACTTTTCTCTCATATCCTAAGTTTAATCTATATTTATGTCATATTACCTCTGTCCTTTTGGTCGTTTCGTGTTTCCTCATGCTGTACAATCTTCTAATCACTTTTTTTATTGAAGTAGTTATACATTCTTCACTCAAACTTCACTGCTTGAATGCTGTTACTTGGTATTAATGTTTAGTACTTTGTAACATTATTATATAAAACTATGCACATACCTTCAATCTCAATTTCATTGAGAGATTTTCCTTGGAATCTTGTGAGATTTCCTTTCTCCATTGCCAGTAGCAGCTCTGAGATTTTTGCAATTTCTATAGTTGCATCTGGCAAGCGATAATAGTCTCTATGGGCCCAAATGTCATGGCCCAAAAATTATTGCACTGACAAGTTCAGGATTTGGTTACACTTTATAATAACTGCATGCTATGAATCATTAGTTAAGCATCAGTAAATAGTTAATTTATCATTTATAAAGCATTGTCCCGACATTAGTAAGCAGTTTATAAATACAGCTATAAATGCTTTATTCTTCATTTATAAGCATGTATATAATATGCTTAATAACTGTATTTACATACTTTATTAACGATCAATTTATCATTTCTAAATTAAGCATTACATTATTTACAAACCAGTTAGTAAGGAGTTGTCAGTGGTTCACGAGATCATTTAGAAAGTGTAAGTAAGTGATTAATAAACTATTTGAATGTACATTTATACATCTTATTATTCATGCATATAGTAACAATTACTCAGTGCGTTAATAAATGCTTTATTAACACATATTCCTACTGTAATTCATGATTAATTCAGGTAGTTATAAAATATTTACTACTTGTCAGTTAACTGTTTTTGTGAGCTCATCTAAAGTGAGAACTATTTATGCCTCGTAAAGCATTTACAAATTAGATTTAAAGGCTCAGTTATCTTCTAAACAGAAAAAGGAAATGTGGTTCAAACAGGGTTGGAAGGAAGAAGAAGAGTTCATTTGGAACTAGATGTCGGGAGCAATACAAGCAGTTTTCTGACCGAAAGCGCTGGCAATGTTGCTTTGGGCTGAGGCCGACCTGCTGGAGGATGGCTCGCTTGAGGTCGTCATAGACCAGGAGGTTCTGTACCGGGAGGTGCTGGGCTGCCACCTGCGCTTTGCCTGCAGTGTTGCCAGATTGGGCGGTTTTGAATTTGATTGTGCGGGTAAAAAAATTGGCTTGGGCGGGTGAACAAAATTTGGGCTGGTTTGGGGTCAGTTTGGCGGTTTTCAAACATATAAATTGCATAGGCTAATTGTTTAACAAAACAATCCCAAGTATGCATGTACTGCATACAATCAGTCATCATAACGTTACTAAACACACACACACTGCAGAGGCACTGGTGCTGATGTAAACGTCGACAGCCGCACTTATCACGAGGGCTCAGCAGACAGACGTTATGACTCATGAGTGACAAGTTTTTAGCGTGATAAGTTATAACGTATCTGATTTTGAATGTAGTATGACTGTATATTCAAGTAATCACAATGCCTAAATATAAGTTAAAGAGTGGGAGAGTGACTCAACTCTCAAACGTGAATTATTGTGGAGTGAGATGACACGAGGCTCTATCACTGCAACTCCGAAATCAGAACACATTTGAATTAATTAATCAAAACTGAAACTAAATATGTCGGTTTATGCGATCTCTTTTATCTTTTAAACGGTCCAGATTGATAAATCTTTGAAAACTGCTAGACTTGATTAGTTTTGACTGTGCACAGTTCTGTATTATGTTCTACAATATGAACTTAACAAGAGGCTTCCTCTAGTTCTGTGTAAAATTATAGCGCGACACGAAGGTAAGCGCATTATTGTTGTTATTTTTTTAATTGTCGGATTGTAATTAAGTATCAATGAATGACAGTTTTGAGTTGACTGTCATGGTGTGCGCATGAACGAGTGTGAAATACCTGCTAATTACGTTGCTTTTTCCTATCACTTATATTGGTAAATTTTTGCATTTAAACTGGATTATCCTGACTACTGACATTGAAAATCATGCATGTGTTGTTTCGAGGGTATCGGTTAATTTCATGATTGCCGTTTTGACACTGTCTGCTTGCATATTTTATTCATGTTCGGTAACGTTAGCCTAATTCTCTTTAATGTAGGCTATTCGCCCCGATTTGATCCGTTTACCTGCAAAATTGATCTTATTTATAATTTATATTAGCCTATTTTGTCGTCAATATTTTGTTTTAAGGAGTTAAAATGGCCCTTATCAACCTTGATTTAAATATTCTATAACATTATTTTGACAGTTAAAGTTTTGGGCGGGTTTTTGTGAGCTTTTGGGCTGGAAATCGTCCATCCAATCTGGCAATACTGTTTGCCTGTTAGGAGAGGAATCAGGCGCATTGGTCAAACTGATCGGGGACAGCCGGTTGCCTCGGCATTTGGGGCGGGGCAGAAGGGCTCGAGGCAGCCCCTGTTGCGCTCGGACGAGGGCTTTGAAGCGTGGATCCTGATCCTCCCTCATGTCCAAGAGTGCTTGGTGATGCTCCTGGTGGAGTCCCACGAGCGAATGAATGACTTCCGCAAACAGTGAACCTGCTGTGGACATGACAGCGGCGGCGATTCTCCTATTCTCCTTCTTTCTGCACCAGTGTGATAAGGTTCAAACAGGATGGAAAGGAAGACGACGGCGTCGAGGTAGTGAGGCTCTGAGGCTCGTATTAAATCCTGGTCAAACTCCAAACAAACACGCACAACATGTGCTACAAACAGAGTCTCCAATAATCCATAAACAGAACAAGCTGTCACAGCAGCACATGAGTCCTCAGTCCCAGGTCTCTCTCTCCCTTAGTCCCGTGTCCTGGAGGGTTTATCCCATCTCTCCACGCCAATTACTGTAATAAGACACAGGTGTTTGTCATCTTGAACTTGACCTACCACCGCCAGTCTCCCGACTCTCTCGCTGTAGACTCCGCAGGACCACGCCCCCCTCGCCACAGGAAAGAAACACAACACAGAGGGATACAGAAAATATCAATATTTATTTTCATTAAAAAAATACACTGTACAACTGTACACTTGATATAAAATGAAAAATAAACCTCTGCAATGCCATAGAAAAATAAAAATGGAACTAAATAAGCAACAAAATGAACAAAAAAAGAGAGCAAAATAAGCTAGAAAGAGAATATAAATAAAAAATAAGCAACAAAATGAGCAACACAACTGACAAAAAGCAACAAAATGAAGAAAATAAGCCAATTTGACAAAATCTTAGTAAAAAGCAAAAAATTTAAATAAAATCAATTCTACATTTTAAAACTGAAGACTCACAATTAACTGAAATACAAAAACAAAACTGGTTACAGTGTCGGAATATCACTACTTGTACTTTCTTGAAATGTCGTGAGTCAATCTGCCAAATACACCATCAGAGTGTTTCTTTGCCAGCTACGTCACCACGTACCACGTCAGAAAGCAAACTCTCAGTACGATTTCCCCTAAGCTTTTGTATCTTTGGTAACTATATTTCACATTTATTTAAAGTCGCTTTTGCTATAAAATACCTTTCTTTTGTGTCAAAAATGGCTTTCGTCGATCACAACGAACTCCCTTCTTCCACCAATCTGTACGCCTTCTCATCCTTTCAACTGCTGTGACACAGACCACCCTTAGTTTCTTTGCCATTTTACTAAGAGTTGCTGAACTGCCTGCAATGCTGTCATCCATCATATCTGTCTGGTGTAACCGTAGACCCTGAGAAAACCTTTTACGGGCAAATAGATATTTATGTTTATGCAATGTCTATGAACACCTTTATGCACTGACATTGTATGCATTATTTTGAATATTGCACGTTTTATGCAAATTACAAAGAGAACAGCAACAAAGTAAGTGAGTTTATGATATACATATTTATGTTACAACTGTTATTACTTGCCTACCTGTACATGAACTGCATTCCCCCTAACCGAAGGAAACCTTTGATCCACTGAAGATTGATTTGTGTCTGGCAGAAATTTGTTTTGCCCTCCCCTCATATACTGCTTGTTGACAAATCCTATTGTAAAAAACAAAAAAAAACATTTACTTAAGTAATATTACATAATTATAATAAATGAATATATATGTAATATTGTATATGTATATGGGAAGAAGTCAAAGAAAATGGAAATGAAGACACGTCAGAGAGGTTAGAATGCTGTTTACACCCTTTCCACTCACTGGGTTATGGTTTGCCATTGGTTATGTCTGCTGTACATTTGTTTCTCTCTTGGCTGGTTCTTCC